CTCGCCAGTCTTCTGAGCCCTGGGGTTTAGGGTTTAGGGATTAGGGATTAGGGTATAGGGTTTAGGGATTAGGGTTTAGGGGATAGGGTTTAGGGTTTAGGGGATAGGGTTTAGGGTTTAGGGTTTAGGGATTAGGGTTTAGGGTATAGGGTTTATGGTATTAGGGTCGTGGTTTAGGGTCGAGGGTCCCCAATGCTCTGCTGCCAAGGCCACTTCCGGAGATCGTTGTCTTCTTTGCGATCCCAAGCTCATGAAAGAGACAGCTCGAGACGACTCAGCTTGCTTGTCACTCTCGAGGAGGCAGCTTTGAGCAAGGCTCTGGACTTAATAAAGCATACCGTCGACGAGTCAACTTCCAGGGACTTCGAGAAGCAAGTCGCCCGAGCTCATCACCGGCGTGATCCCAATCGTGCCAAACGCACGGCCAGAGGCTCCTACAAGAAGGAGAACCAGGTGTGCGGGGTTGCACATGGGTAACTACGTGAGAGTTGCAGAGACTCAGGAAGCTTTGAGCGAAGCCGTTACGGTAGTTAATCCTACCCATAGGCTCCTTAGTAGATCCTTTTTGGGGTTGCCTCATGGGGTTCTCAACATAAACCATAAAAAGGAACTTTTTAGGAGCCCTAAACCCTAAACCCTAAACCCTAAACTCTACTATTGAAAAGTTGAGAAGCCGACCCAGCGGGTTTCTGGTCCTGTAAAACCACAAGAACTTCGAGCCTCAGCGTTGTATCCGGTCAGTTTTGCTGAGGACGTAGAGCCGTGGAAGGGTTTAAGAGTTTAGGGTTTAGGGTTTCCAATCTTTTCATAAGAAGCCCGAAACTACACCTATCTACACCTGCAAGCCTTTTAAGGTACAATTTCTAAGCTAAGGAACATCAGGAGACCAACCCCTGAACCCTAAACCGAACATCAGGAGACCAACAGAAAATACAAGTTTTGGGGTTAGGGGTTGCTGTACAAGACCGGGTCAAGGCTTACGAACCCCGAAGTTCTGGAGTCGGTTTGGGCTTAGGGCTTAGGGGTCTAGGGTTTAGGGGTCTAGGGTTTAGGGGTCTAGGGTTTAGGGGTTTAGGGTTTAGGGTTTAGGCGTTTAGGGTTTAGGGGTTTAGGCTGTAGGGGTTTAGGGTTTACGGTTTAGGGTTTGCCGTCTGCATGTCCCCTAATCCTCAAAGTAGAGCAACCTACGTTCGACATGGTCCCTACCTTAATCTACGAAAGATTGCCTTTTCGCAGGGTCACGATGCTGAGCATGCCAGGACGTGGGAGCATCTTAACCAACCCCACCTAACAGTACAGCTTCAAGAATTTCCAACAAATAATTCTCAAGGAAAATATTCTATAAAACAGCCGAATCGCTAGTTTAATTACTAAGGCCCGTACATTAAGAGTACGTACCATGCCTCTCTCAGGCTCTGTCTTAGGCTTTCAGGTTGAGGGTCTGGGCTAGGGTCGGGCGGTTTGCTGTCCGGCCTCACAGGACGAGGCGCTATGCGCACAGTTGCAGGCCTTGCTGTCTAATATGGGTAGTTCTCTAAATTAGGGTCATAAGGCCCTTTTGGTAAGGGTTCTGTACTATCTTTGGGACCTAAAAAGGGAACCTACTTTAAAGGACTATCCACGTAAAGATCTGAGTACATTTGTATTGATTAGTAATCCTATCTGGCCCTTCATTCTTATTATATGCCACAAACGGCCCCGCAAAACCTAATTAGCCCGCTTCCGTCGACGGTGCGTAGACGTCAACACTCGTTTGATTTTAGTATCGCATGGTGTTTCCCAAACTTGGAGAGAAACCCTGAACTTTAACCCTAGAACCTAAACCCTAATGACGACGAAAAGTAGTAACCAGAATGGTAGTACGAATAACGATAATATTATCGAATGATAAAAATTATCACAACAAAGATAACATAAAAACTCTTGATATTGATACCAAAACTATTTCCACGATTTGGACTAAGACTTAAACCAAGACAAATACTAATAGTATAAATGGTAATAAGAGCAAAATAGTAATATGATGATAATAACCCTACTCTCTACCCATGGCGCCTTCGTAGTTCTTTTCGGGAATACCTTATAGGGCCACAACAGGGAACAACTTAGGAGCCTATGGGTACGCCCCACACTGCGAGAATAGCCGGCGTTTGGACTTCGGAGTTGGAGGTTTGCGGTCGGAGGATTCCCCTGAAGCCCTAAACGCCAATCCCAAAGTTCCCTACATCCTACTCAGGTTCTTAGGGTTTAGGGTTTAGGGTTCAGGAGACTTAGTAAGTGGGGTTGCAAGCAAGGTAACTCTAGCTATATCTACTTATAGCCCTAATTAACGTACCTTTAACCCAACATACTAAATCCCGTCCATGATGCTTCAGGGACACCCTGAAGGATCCATGGAACCCGAAACCCTAAACCCTCATAGGGTGGAACCTGAAGGAAGCCTGGTATGGTTCCCCTGAGGTTAAAAATGGCCCGAACGCCTTATACAGGATGGTATTTGGGCCAAGAGATTTGAAGTCTGACTCCTTAGAGCCTTCAGGTTAAGGTAAACTCTAGATCCCAAGTGTAGGATTACAGCTAGGGGGGCTCTACGCCCACTGGGGTTTAGGGTTTAGGGGTTTAGGGTTAGGGTCCGCTTGGTGCCCAAAGAAATTTTCGCCGGAATACTGCATTGAAAACTTTATAGGGGTCGACCCTTAGCCACAAATTCGTTGTTCAATCTTGTGAGGGGCCGGCGGGGCGGGAGGGGTAACAGAGGAGGGCCAGGCGCGTTATGTTCGCTCTTAACTGAAGAATAAATCTGTGCATTGTATTTGAAGGTTTACCAGAGGACAGCCATGAATCTTGTGTTTTCTTTTATTTGACGGGTAGCACAAGAGGGGTATATGTGTTTTTAACTGGTTGATATCAGAGGACGTCCATGTAGCTGATGTTGGCTGATGTTCGCTTTACCTGAACGGTAGCAGAGGAGGGCCATGCACCTTATGTGTGCCCTTGACTGAAGGGGAACAGAGCCTTCAGTGATCTCTTATGTTCGCCGTTCATTAAGGGCCACGCACCTCCTTCATAAAACTTTGTTGAAGAGTGCAAGGAGACAGACCTACATGATCCTCACTTCCTTCCACGGTCGATATATATTGATATGATGCACGGATTTAGTTAGTTCGTTAGTTAGTTAGTTAGTTAGTTAGTTAGTTAGTTGGCTAGTTAGTTAGTTAGTTAGTTAGTTAGTTAGTTAGCTAGTTAGTTAGTTAGTTAGTTAGTTAGTTCGTTGGTTGGTTGGTTGGTTAGTTAGTTAGTTTTAGTTAGTTAGTTTTAGTTAGTTAGTTTGTTAGTTAGTTTGTTAGTTAGGTAAGTTAGTTAGTTAGTTAGTTAGTTAGCTAGTTAGTTAGTTAGTTAGTTAGTTAGGTAGGTAGGTAGGTAGGTAGGTAGGTAGGTAGCTAGGTAGTTAGTTAGGTAGTTAGTTAGTTAGTTAGTTAGTTAGTTCGTTGGTTAGTTAGTTAGTTAGTTAGTTAGTTAGGTAAGTTAGTAAGTTAGTTAGTTTGTTTGTTTTTTGTTAGTTTGTTAGTTTGTTAGTTTGTTAGTTTGTTAGTTTGTTAGTTTGTTTGTTAGTTAGTTAGGTAAGTTAGTTAGGTAAGTAGGTAAGTTAGTTAGTTAGTTAGTTAGTTAGTTCGTTGGTTGGTTGGTTGGTTAGTTATTTAGTTAGTTAGTTAGCTAGGTAGTTAGTTAGTTAGTTAGTTAGTTTACTTCTTTATCTATGTATTGACTTACTTGTTTACTTGTTTGTGCACTTGTTTATTTTTTTTTCATGTAGTTGTCTATCTATTTCAGTAGATATGCATTTATTGGTCTAGTTACTTGCTTTTGTATATATTCATGTATTTATTTGTGTATTTATTCCCGTACGCTTACATACATGCGTGTATGCATGCATACACACAGATAGACATGGACTGACTGCCAGGTGTGTGTGTGTGCATTAGTTGGCCTTTGCATGCAATGCTCTGATTCTTGATTTCTTTGTCTTGCTGAAAGACAGGGTGATCACTCCTACTCACTATCACAGCATGATCTGATGGGTGTTGCAGGACCTTTGCCTGGCAGCAGAGCTGCTGGACGGGAATAATGCCTGTTCAGGTGTTTTGCATGTACACGGCATGTGAATCCAGCCATGTCCTAACTTCAGCATGGTGCTCTAATCCACGACACAAACGTACCTGTTCGGTTGCGCATGGGCCTGACCAAAACAACTGAGAAGCCAGCAGCACAAGAAGAAGAAGGGCATCAGGACACGCACCTTGCGGATGCGATCATTCAAGGCAAGCAACTTTAGCCGGGACGTCTTTAAGGGTCTGGCTTACTAGAGTTACTACGGGTACCGAGTCAAGACGAGCGCATGCGCCGAGTCTTGGGGCCCATGCCCAGGTCATGAGCCGAACCCACCTTCGCACATCGTCGCACTGCGAGAGATCCTGCGAAGAGGCCGGTCCAAAGCAAAGCAGCTTGAAGCACAGCACGGTGCTGCCTTGAAGAAGAACATGCACAACCCCACTGCCCACAGAACCTTGGCCGCACGGAGATGGAACAGTACCGCAGCTGTAAACTAATTCAACTGCTATGCCTTGCGTTGCTTTGCTTGCTGAAGAGCTAGGAACTCAGGAACGCAGGAGGTGGGGCCCGGCTGGCCCGGCCGAGGGTCAGGACGGCGTGACTCCACAGAGGTGAGACACAGACGGAGCACATCTGGAACAAAGCGCCGCACCAGTGAAGAAAGCATGGAAGCTGCGATCGATATCACTGCACAGCGCGTGACCTCGCAAGAAGTGTGGAAAGACAGTACAGGGCCGGCAGGGTACTAGCGCCTTGTTGAAATTGTCGACCTTGCCCTCCAGCTCTTCTGGAAGTTCTGGGTCACCACGGGCCTCCCGAAAAAGCAAAACACGGGCTGACGCGGCAAACCATGGCAAACCGGACAGATCTGCGACTTCAGACTCCCTTCTACTTGCCGTGTGCTAGCATGCCTTGGTAGGTCTGGCTAGGCAGGGCAGACAAGGGCTAAATTGCAAGGTTCAGCTTTTATTGTTGACGGCCAAGAACCAAGAACAATCTTCGGCAGTGGCGCGGAAGAAACGGGGGAGAAGCACGTGTAATAGGACTCTTGAAATAAGAGGTTTGCTCATCGCTCGGCAAAGCTTTCCCAATCCTTTCGCAGGCAACACAAGCCTCGAAGGAGGCATTCTTCCAGACTCTTTTGACAGATGGCACAAACAACAGGGGTAGTCTTATGTGTAAACATATTTTTGACACCGATCCTCGTACACACCTCAGAATGAGAGGGCATGAAGCACGCCAGTTAAGCGGCTCCGACGAGCGCAGGAAACCACGATTGTTGACTCCTCGACATGCCTCGACATGCCTCAAGTCAAGCGAGTGGCTAGAGATCGACCGTAAGCTACAGGGAAAACTAACTTCTTCGCCCGGCCGCCCGCCTTCCTTACCAGGTGTTCCTGGAGCTCGAGATCCTGGAGAACCTCCAGAGCAAGGCACAGACGCGTGCGCACGCGAGGGTGTGTTATGGCCTGAGCTTGGAGGCAGAGCCAAAGGCTGAGGAGGCTCCCAAAGAGACAGACCACGCTGTCGACAGTCATCCTGGCACGGATAAGCACCATTCCAACCGGAACCAAGAGAATCTGCTCCAAATCCGAGCCGGGCTCTCCAAGCGGCCGCGGCCCAGCCACAGGCGGAGCTGAAGTTCCTGCGGGCCAGCCGTGCTATGCGTTGCTACGCCGCGCGGCTACGCTGCACTCCACCGCGTGCTCGATCCGCTCCTCGCGGCAAAGAGGAGCTCCAGAAGGGACGGCAGGGCCAGGACGAAGCTGTTCATGATGTAGAACTGAACAAAACGCAAAGACAGGGCCCATAGCAGTCGCTCTGATGAAGGCGCACACCTGAGCCGCTCCTCTTCGGAGGGAATTGTGTGCCTGGCAGAATCTCGAAGCCCCGCGGCCCGAAAAGGGGCTTGGAAAATCTTTCCAGGAAAATCTCCAGTGCTATGCCTGCTACGCCCTCTGCGAGTGACACCGTCTCAGAACAAGTTGCAAGATTGCGTGAAGAGGCTGAAGACTCAGACTCAGCTTTGCTCGTGGCCTACAGTGGCCTGCAAGTGTGGATACCCTTACGGAGTATTGTCCATGACTGCTAAAGGCCTCTGCAAATTTGCGCGTTGAACCGCGAGTAACATCGAGCCCATCCCTGGCATCCAAAGGCGAGATCTTTGACAGCGATATGAACTGATAGCAAAGAGTCCACTAGCTAGCTAGCTCATGCCGTTGGCAGCAATCTGCGCCTTCGCCAAACTCGTGTCTCACAGAGCTCCTTCTCTGCCTACGGGCGCAACCGCGCGACTTTCTCGGCTGACTTCTCAGGCCATGTGTGGAAGGAAGGTAAGGCTGAAGCCAGGGATTCTCGCAGAGCAGGGTCGTCCTCATACCTGAAAAGCTTCGCTTCGCTTCGTCTGGCTGGGGACGAATCTGAGGCCCGGGCTGAGCAGCCCATTCTGGCAAGGCCATGGCATGAAAGCGAAGCGGCGTCTCGTGCTGCCGTCGGGTAGGCGTTGGTGTGGTGCGGCCACTACGTGTTGGGTCCCTGATGGTCCCTGGGACCCTTGCTTGGATCTGGGGGCCCCATCTGCCCTGCGTTTCTCAACGATCCACTTAGCCATCTCAACCAAATTGGTGTTGCTGGCCGAAGCGGCACAGTAAAGCAGGTGAGCTGGATTGCACACTCGATCACACTCGCAAGATCTCGGCAAGTATCACAGCTATTGAGTCCCGTTCTTCCTCTTGATCTTCAGCCACCACCTGCACCTGGGCGAGGGAGCTGGTTCCGGCCTTCCTGCCCCGAGCGTCGATCTCTCCAAGGCGATGACAACCCAAGACCCTGACCGCTGACTCACAGTTTTTGCAATCAGCTCCCATTTGGGCCCATGCCCCGTGAAATCCTCCTGGATCTCCGAGGAAGGTCACCTACCGCTGATGCTGTCGATAGCTAAGACGACCAATGAGGCTCACACTCTCTCCAAGTTTGGAGTGCTGGCTATTGCCCTAGCAACCAGGCATCCACATGCCCGAAAGGAGTCAACAATCGTGCCTTGAACGGACCGTTTAAGAAGGCGAGGATCATGACAGTGCCAGACCTTGCTCCACAAGGCCTACAAGTTTCATAGCTCCAACACTTAGTTGCTGAGTTCACAAGCCCAAAAAAGTGTACACTTTCAGTTCTATAAGGGATCATATTATCCCAAAAAGTTTAAAGTGTAGTAATTCAGCTACTGAGAACAGGAACTGGGTGCATCAGAAGACCTCGCTTGCCCCTCTTTTCCCCGCTTGTCAACGCCAGCTTCTGCAGTGCACAAGGGAGCGCAGCCCATGCTGACCTTGGCTTGCACATGTCTGACACGATGCTGGGCCGCAACGCAAGTCGGGAAGATGGCGCGCATCCCGTGCAAGGCTTCGCTTGATTTTGCGCTCTGCGATTTGGCCGCACAGATCTAAGACAGATTCATGGCCAAGGACGTGTTCAAGCACTCCAGTGGTCTGATCGCACAAACTTGGCAGCTATTCATGAGGTGCAGGATCAGCTTGCCCACACCATTTGCAATTAGTCAGGTTGGGCAGAAAGTCTGGACATATTTTGGAAAATAGGCAGGTTGTTTGCTGTGTGAATGCCACGAAGTCACACAGAGCGACAACAACATCAATGTGTTCGTAATCTCATGCTGGCACAGTTGCTAAGCCATTATTTCGGCAGCACGCGTCTTTGGCTCCCAACTGTTGAGACGTGAGAAGTCTGATAATGTCAGTCCGGTTGGCCCTGCATGTCAAGCAATTTCTGGCTCGACATGGCGGACAGGCCAGTAACAGTCAGACTGCTCTCAGAGAGCTACGCTGCACGAATGAAGCATGGCACTGGCAATGTCATCGGCCACAACTGCTTACCATACGGCTTCAACTGTGTTTGCGGATGGCTGTGGGCACGGAGTACAGCTCGAAGAAAAAAATTGAAGAGCGAAAAATCGAAAAGGTACGGCGGCGAAAAGTATCGAAAAGTCAAAAGGTCTAAAAGTCGGAAATATCGAAAACATGAAAGATCCAGAACCACCGCAAAGGTCCCTTCTGGGGAGTTCGCCTGACCCGAAAACCCAGCAAAATCGTTTGTGTCTTGGATACTTGTCAGGGTTTAAAATTCAGCAAATTTGCCATTTTGTGGTTCTCAGAGCCCGAAACAAGCGCCAATGCCTGCACCAAGCAATGCCTACGTCTTTTCCATGTTTTGTGCTGCCCACGAAATGCTCAAAACCAGTGAAAGCTGCAGTTTAACAAGCATTCCACAAAGCAGAAAATGTGCCAAATGCTTATGGTTTCGCTCTTTTAAAGAATTTGGCATGCGCAAGGTTCTTGCTTGGTTTTCCTAGAACCGAAACATACGTCGACAATCGGAGAACACCATTTGTGCAGAAAAGCTCGAAAAGCGCACAACAACAATGCTAAACACCGAACAACCAGAAAAAAGTACCCAAAAGTTCGAAGAGCGCAGAGAACAGCAAAAGGCAGAACGTTTTGGACTTTTTGACTTCTCGACTTTTCGAGAAGTGATTCGGGTCTCCGTTTATCGAAACCAATGCCTGCTTGCGTATCTAGCAGCTTCATGATGCCGTCGAAAAGCTGGCAAAAAACCATTCATACAGATGCGAAGATGATTGAACATGAGCACATGAACCCTAAATCTGCGCAATCTGAGAAGGGAGGGGATCCATTGATTGGCTTTCAGGCTCCACGGCGCAGCTAAAGATTCAATCTTGCTGATGGAAAATCCTGCCAGGCTCTCCTGCCGCCCCGTGCACGGGTACCAAGAAGGACTGTGGCAGGGGCCGGCATGCAAGAAAAACGGCAGCTTTAAAATCGAATTTGCGGATGCTGGGCCGAAGCAGAAGCTGTCTGGCCTGCGACTTGTTTCTAGTCTCCAAAGACGGCTAACGGTAGGCTGACACGTTCTGCTCCCGCCTTGCAGGTCGCGGCTACACTTACTCTGCCACATTCCTGCGGCGTGAACTTCAGAAACTGTAGTCTGACACAGCCGCTGGCCACATGGCATGAATAGACCTCTTTGTCCAGGCGATGCTGCACCACTCACAGCGGCTTGTTCTGAGCTTCGAAGCAGATCTGGTGGTTGTAAAAGACCTGATGCCAAGGCTGCAGCCGCCGTTGCCACGGCAGATGACATCGTCAAGCAAGGAGAGAGCAGGGCCTACTACATGCAAACTTCAGCTTTCAAACAGAAGCAAGATAATCACACAGGGCGACGTACAAGACCCGCAACCACCACACGACAGTATCAAGATGCAAAGGCCAGGCAGAGAGAGACCAAGGTAAGCAATCACTTTCAAGAAGGTGGCAATCAAGAATACCGCTCCAGATAGAATCGAGCATCTTCCTTAACTTGTGCTGACCGGTTTGAATTGGAATCGACTACTACAAGCTCGACGACAATAACAACGACACCGACATCAACGAGAGCAGCGACACGCGACAAGAGAAGGAAAACAATAAGAAACATCAGTGACGACGACAACAGCGGCAGCTGCACAGCACCCGCACCCGCGGGCCATCTGCCAAGATCTGGGACTCCGCCCGAAGCACCAAGGCCAGCTGGCTTTTGGCAGCCGAGCCCCCGGGCCCCGGCAGCTTCTGTAAATCTGGCTCGAAGATGTTGCGTGATGTTGCGCATGAAGCCGGTTGCGCGACAGGCGCATGCCTTTTCTGGAGCCAAGAACCTCTTGCAGCCAGAAGATCCTGAGACCCGGAGTATCAAGGGAGGCTCCGAGAGGCAGACAAACAAGCGCTTGCTGGGACTTCCCTAACGCCAACCAGTCCCGCTAATATGCCGAAACAGCTTCACAAGCAAATCCCTGAACCCCAGGCACTCTTCGCGGCCTTCATCCATTCAACTTTTCCCGGCCCGGTCTTCATTTCACCTCAGGTCCACTGCAAACATGATCCGACGTTCTGCTAGGCGGTGTGCAAGCTCGTACTTGCCGCCATCGGCACAGTTTGGCGAGCTATCATCATTCCAGGCTCGAAACTGGATGCCGCCGTTGGGCCTCAAAGTCAGCAAACTGGCCACCACTTTGTTAAGGAGCTGCAAGCAGCAAGCCTGCACAGAAGAAATGCAGGCATGCATCCCCTAGGCCCGGCATAGACTCGAACAATGCTCAGCCGGGCAGCTCCAGTACCATCTCGAAGACCATGCGGCCGTCCTGCATGCCCTTCAAAAGGTTCCTTAGGGGGAGCGCTGCCCGCAGGGCTGTTGGCCCGGCTCTTCCGGCCTGCGACCTATTGCGAACCTGGGGTAAGATGAAGAAAGAGAATTCGGCATGACGATGTCTGCATCAACATCTGCATCTGCCTTCTCACATCTGCAAACATACGTGTACAGTCGCAGAGCCGCCTTGTGGCTTTTCTAGTGGATGCCATGCAAGCGCCCCGTGGGAAAGATGTCAGTTCTGAAGGGCCGCGCTACGCTTTCGTGGGTTTCCCATGCCGGCCATGTCCACGAGCTCATGGTGAGGAACATGACATCATCTGTCTGATGAGATCTTCCCACTGCGAGGAACAACGCATGCAAGATCGTGTAGCACGGAGATTCAACTGCGATGGAGGCAACAGTGGTTGTCCTAACAGTGTCTAAAGTCAGAGGAGCCACCCATGCACCTCGTAGGTTTGGCAGTGGATAGGTGGCTCATGCTTGGCCAACTGCTGGAAGACCTGGGCAGTTCGCAGAGCATAGAATGGCCGGAGCCTGGACTTGCAATCAAGTCCCAAAAGATGCAAGGCAAAGGCACATTGCGAACTTGCGGCACGCTCTTCCAGATCCGAGCCTCTTCCTTGGCTGTCGTTCGGAACCTCTGGCTTCTGCATCTTTAACTTCGAGGCTCGGCTCCACTTCTGGAGCCTGGACGGTGTTGCCAAGCATCGAGCGTTCCCGGGTATTTCTGGGCTGCAAACCACAATTTCAGCCTGGCACAAGCCCAGCACGGCCGGCTCCAAGGGCAGGAGTCAATGCTGTTAGGAATCTGTCAAGGAGCTGGTTTGCGGCACCGAAAAGCGGCGACGGATCGAAGCCCGTCTCAGTGACCTGATTTGCCAGCACATGGCGCGCTTCCGCTGCCTTTGAAAGACGGTCAAAGTGGAGGCAAGCCACACACCGCTGCAGCGCCGGGCGAAGCGCCTACCACCAACTCTTGCTTCCGGGCAGTATCGCAATCGGTGCAGCTCAGAAACCATGATGGGAATGCTGCACCGGGGACTGCGGCTGTAAAAGCTGATTGCCTGCATGTTTCGAGTTCCGGCGACATTCACGAGCACGGCTAGGCAGTTGGAGTTCCTGAATACACAATGCAGCGACAATGCACAGTGCAAAGAAAGGCATCTTCCCTAAGCTCCCTCGGCATTGTCCGAGCCGAGAGGCCGCGGCCGTCCTCCGGGCGGAACGTTGAAGAGGACGATCTGCGAGACAGAACCGATGCATAGTTTAGCATGCTCTTTCCGCTCTTGAAAGCGTAAGCTCTCAGCAAAATGAGCAACTTCTTTAGCTCCCACCGCTGCCTCGTCAGCACCGGTCGACCACTCCATTCCCAGCATGAGTATATCCCAGGGCTGGTGGCTAAGACGATCGATAAAGCCTTTGAGCACCAGGAGCTGAAAGACAAAGACTTTGTAGTTCGAGCAAATTCCTTCTTTAAGTCTTTCAGAATCTTTCAGACACTGCCTGTCATGCACCAGCTCCCCACCTGGAAGACGCTGGCGAAGGTCAACGAGTTGCACCAACCTTGGGTCTGGAAGTACCGTGCCATACGGTTCCGATGCAGTCACATATCGTCGCAACCAGTGATGCCGTGACGCCAGATTTTCTGCATAACCTGCCCCCTGCTGCTTCCCGCACGCGATGCAGAAAAATGAAAGGCATGAAACGAGTACAGGTCTGGAAAGCCAGCACAGGCATTAGACAGGCCCCCACTCATGTCATCCACGCCGTTGATCGGCTTTTGTCACTCGGTGGTTGGATGGGTAACTTCCACCCGGTCGTTGCGTTCGCTCAACGTGAACTCCATCTTGCTTTTTTTCCTTTTTCCATTCTGATCCGTGGCCATGGTGCATGCCCAGATTAAGTCATCACAGTCGAGTTCCATTTCTGACCATGGCCTCCCTTCGTTTCATTTTACATATGAACTGATACGACTGAATAAACATGCGCTTGTAAAATCATAATATCAGTACCTGACCTCTTGAAGAGCCGCGTCCATTTTCCCGACTCACTCCATCACTCCGCGGCCGGTCTGCTGTTTCGCGACTCGGACTTGTTTTCCCGACTCCAGAACGTCGGAGATCCTGATTCCTCTCGTGCTCAGGCTCCTTCTTCCTGCTGTGGCGCTGCTTGTTTCCTGACTCGGGCCTACTTGTCTCACTGTGCCTCAACACTTTTCAGACGCATCTGCCCGACTCGACTTCCAGCCCTTGAGGCCTTTCTCAGAGAAGAAGTTCGACGCGCAACGGCCAAGCGCAACCCTTCGCTGAGTAGAACAACTGGACTACTCTTCCCAAGCCACTCGCCATCGAAAAGGAAGAATGCCGTGCCCTCCTCGAGTGGATAACCTGAAGAGGTCTGGCCTGCTGACCTTTGATGCCTCTCCTCCTGTGACACTGGACAACTTTATCGTTGCATGTGACAAACAGATTGAATTGCAGTTCTCTCTGCAAGAGTCAAACGGTCACACTGCAATCGGGCCACTTCCATCAGCAGGATTGGACATGGATAGAAGATCCTCCATGTGGGCCAAGGCGATGGGCACCTCACGATTCGCAACGTGCTCAACAATGACGCAAAACAATCAGGAAAGACTGACGTGCATTGCAAAGGCCCCCGACCCCTGCCTGGCCGTACAGCTGCGCATCCGAAGCCTGTGGCAGCGCGCGGAAGGCTCCCATGTGCGGCGTCTTGGCGTGGAAGGGGCAGTCAGAAGGCCTCCACACAGGACGAAGTACAAGCATCCTCGTCCGCAGGAGCAACGGCAGGGAGACTCTGCACTGTGCCGAGGCAGCTATCGCACAATGCGCCGGAGGCTACACCCCTGACAGGGATCACATCGGTGCGAGCTGAACCGGCCTTTTGCAGCGGTTGCGGCGCTTCACCTTGCGGCTCGTATTGAATCACAATGGTCCAGCTCCGTGTTTGAAAGATGGCCGGTGGTCTACCATGGTTTATCCCCGCGCCAGTTGCGTGAGGACTTTGACTGCAATTCGCAGTGAGGCCTGGATGCCGACATACCTGTCAGCCTTCTGTCTGAGCTGTGCATGTGCAGCTTGGAAACGTAGCCCTCCAAACCAGAGCATGTGTAGCCAAACCTCAGCTAGGACATCCGCAGAACTTCTCACGGTCATCTGCAAGAGACTCGCCCTGCAGCAGTTCGGCGGGTCATCTCTGCCATGCCGACAGGTCAAGATGCAGACATTAGTGAATCCGGCAACCCGAAGATCGTGCCAACTGCTACAAACACTATCGGTCCAGTAGGCGCGAACACACACCCTGACGACCCGTTAGGTCCAACCCGTCAGAGTCAACTGCAGCAAAACATTTAAGCCTCTACAGAAGCCCATGCAATTCCGGAACCGGCATGAACCGGCCACATCGACAAAGGTCAAGACGGTGGAATCTCTGCCGGCCCTTTGAGTGTGCCAAGTGGCTGGAACATAAGGCACCTGCCGGTCTTCAAGCTACAGACAGGTTGCAGTGTTGCCACAAGCTTCTTGAGGGCTTTTTGGCCATAGCATCTGGAATGGCCATCACGGAGTAAAGACGCGGCCATCAGGGAGTAAAAAGGCTCTGTCTTGAAGTAGGAGTGCGGCGTAGCTTGCTGGTTCAGGAAAGGACTCGAAAATCCTGCACCCCAACGCCCGAAACCTGAAAGTTCCCACATCTTAAAGCCGAAGGTCCATGCCTGCAATAAAAAAACAAACCCTGAAAGGAATGCCAGAAGAGCAAACCCCAAATCCGAAAAGCTGTGGCAAAACCCGGCACGCTAAGCAGGACCCGAAACCCCAAGGAGGCAGATGATTCGTTTATTCGAAATCCCAAAACAGAGTACTCTGGCTTTCTGAGATATCTGAAGAGGCCATGCTCCTGGGATCTCGGGGAGCCCCAAGGGCAACCCAAGATGAGGCCCTTCGGCTGAAGCCGTGCTCCTGAAGACCCTGCCTGGGAAATCGGTTGAAGTCGATAGCATCGGGATTCGGGACAAAGTGGAAGGCCTGAGTCATGTTCATCATGTCACTTGTGCAGCGCACCTGTGCTTTGGCAGAGCTTGCTCTGACGTTCTTCGGGCACAGGTTGTGAACTCCAACTGAGCCCGGCCATGGCAGAGTCTTTTCTGCTGCATGGGAACTGGATAGAGCAGCTCCTGTGCAGCGATGGAGATCGGCATGTCGCCTCAGCTTCATACAAATACTACGAGTACCGGTTGTCTTAGCAATAGGTTTCAGAAGCTCACAGACACTGCTTAACAATACGCTTGAAAAGACAACACCAGCCAACACCAGCCGGGCAGCTGTCCACGAGGCACTTGGTGTACATGACCGGACCTGGTCACTTGGCTTCACAGCAAGAGCAAACAGACTCTGCACAGCACAAAGTGCCTGTCACGGCGAAAACTTCGATGTGATTGCGCTTCTGATAGAATGTCCTGGAAAAGCATTGCAAACTCAGGAGTGACAATGCAAGACATTAGGTTCCCGTTTAGACACCTACTGTCGCCAAGCGTCTGTTTGAGGAAAAGGATGAGCATCAAAGTCAGGGGGTGATGCGGCGTGCAGGCGATGACCTCAGCAACAAAAATGCTGTCCATGCACTGCAAGTTCGGATTGCATGGCTGTTCCTGAATTGGGCTGCATCCAAGTATCTGAATTACCCAGGATGGAGTATGGCCTGCCGCACGCATGTTATGCCACGCTCTGTCGCAAGTTTTGCTGAGGCAGCCACTTGTCTTTGGTGTCCGGCTCGTAAGCAATGACCCAGCCGGTCTCCTGAGCGTTGGCTTTAAAGTTTTGGATTGATCGCAGAGTGTGTGTGGTTTTTTCCATTGAAGGAGCAAAACAAGCTTCCCCTTCGGACTTCGAAACAGTGCTTTGTATCCCACTGTACTGCATGCGCTGGAATGGCGTTCGAGACTGACACCAGGACAAATGTACCCGCCTTGCCAAGCTCGATAATTGGATTCAAGGACTTCTTCCCAACAGAGATCATGTCCTCGGAGGTATGCACGGCATTTCTGAAGCACTTGTTCCCGAAAACCGTGGCCAGGCTCGGTGTGCACCAATCTTCTGGAACCGCGCGCGGCATTTGTTGAAGGAGCTGTTGCAAACAAGCGTTGTGGCTCTTCCGTGGCGCAGCGCATTTTGAGTGTACCAGTACCATACCGAGGCTCTGCATCAACATAGACGCCCCCATGATGCCACAGGAACTCCAAGCGCAGAATGTCGGCCTTGCATTGCCTTAGATGGTCTAAGATGGGCGTCGGCATAACGAGGCAACTAGGATGGCATAGATGCGTCATGTACACCACTGAACTTGGTTATTGTCTTGTCGGCGAGCTCGTGTATCCCGTCCATGTTCTTGTGGCCAGAACTTCATAAGTCTCAACGTAACGTGTGTTATGCGCCGACAAAGTGTAGTACTACTGGTTGTCATACTGACCTTTTTTGGCGACCAATACTGGTTATTGACATGGAAAATCTCAGACCTATCATGCAAGAGGTAGTCATCCGAACTTTGCACAAACACTGCATTGACTGGTATGAAGAATCCACTCGTCTACCGTCCTGCACTCGTTGACCATGTCTGAAGCAATCAATCGTTCACGCTCATGTAATCACTGGCAGCCAAGAATAGGACCTCCAACTCATAATGTCAGCAACCTTGAAGATGTACCAAGCCCAACGTAAGACAGTGTGATTTCGCAAAATGTACCCTCAAAAGTACAACTGGTGATCCAACCCCATCGTGGAACCTGTAGATAACCTTAAAGTCCTAAAGCTGCGCCACCCTCGTGATTGCTCCCGCTCTCATCACTGCGAACACAGTTTTCGGACGCTCTTGGTGTGAAGACGTCATGCTTAAGTCCGAGGGTGGCTGATTCTATGGCAAGAATATCATCCCACGAAGTAATTCAACAAGCGGCCACATTTTCTCCTCCATGTAAATCCTGGGTCAAACTGCTTGCAAAAACAGTGCACGTCACCTGCTGTAACCACGTGCTGGGCATCTTGCCCTTGTGCATGCACCGACCCAAATGATGAGCCTGTACTGTAGCCCGTGCATACTGAACAAATCCTGCTGGTGGCAACCAAGTGCTGCGGACCACAATGCGCCACATGTATTCGATGGTTTCCCATGCACGCATGCGTGCACATGCATGCACGCACGGAGGGCACGCATGCACGCATGCACACTGAAGCTTGAAGGTTTTAATGCTTGTGCTGCCGAATTTAGCTACGTTTACCAAAGCTGTCGGCCTACTCCGTATAGGGTGCGATCAATCGACATAACAAGTCAAACCGGAGAGGAGACCTTAATTCATTATAACTCAACAAGGCAATCGGGACGAACGAGCAAAAAACACATGAGAGAAAAGAGTGAGAACTGTGCAAGCATGTGCCAGCAACTGAAGTCAGGAAGCTCATGATCTGCACCGACATGTTGCATCTCCGACTTAACTGTTTCCTTGGTGCGTACATGTATGGTTCCTACTCTGGAGATGGAAAGGCGAAACACGAGCCAAGACAGTGATGTTAAACGGTGATGAGAAATCAAGATGGAGGAAAAGACGAACGGAGCCAGACATGCATCAAACAACCATGCCATCACCTGCAATCGCTGCACTTCCTTGCAATCACTTGCAGACTTTGTTCTTGGCTGGTTTACTCTTCCGGGTCTCTGTCGATCTGCTCACAAGGTTTGTAGACGAGACCGCATCCTGTACAGCCAAGTCTGCTCTATACGAGGTCAGAGAGCTTCGCAGGCCAAGCTGCGGCCACCCTCATCCCCAAGTTCGGTATGTATACCGTAGGAGAGAATGTAGGCGCAGAGGTATGGCCGTGGCATTGTATGGTCGTAGCCTTTTGTGTGGGAGCTTTCGTAGACACTTTCCCGACATCTTTGCATCGCTATGTCTGTGGGAGAGTATTGTGTTGGTCCGTTGTGCTCATCTTTCTGGCCACCGAGCTGTGAAAATAAATCTGGACGTTGTGACCGATGTCCAGCCGACTTGACACACTTGGGACGACCTCGAGATAGCCGAAGCTACCCATGCACGACTTGCACTAATGAGGCTCTGACAATCTGCAGGTACACGGGTCAACGTCGCGACTCGCTTCACAGATTCAATGCTGGCGTCTTCGTTGATTCCAGTCGAGCCAGCACACACACAAGAAAAAGAAGCTGTGCCTTTGCCGGAAAAGGCTCTTCTCGTTAAACATCGGCAGCTTGGCTACCCTCTCATCACTCCAGAGTTCATAGCGCCAGTCTGGATGAGCCTCTAGGGCGAACAAGCATGCGTGCACATGCGGTCATCCCGGAAAGGATTACCTAACCACAGACCATTTAATTATGCAGTTTGGCATCTGCCTTGCGTTGAGTCTTGCTGTGTTGGGGCTTCTGTGTACCATTGGACAAACATGTTCAATGGCCCACATAAGCAACCTTACTGCCAGCAGCACGATGATGGAAAGATGTGTGCATCACAAGATGCGGATCATACCAGGATGCTTTGCTTCTTACGCCGGAGACATGCTCAGAGATTCCATCCGGGCCCTCGTGACTACACGCCCAGACAGAACGGCACATAAGCAACCATAAGCATTCCCTAGAAGCAAGCCTCGATGAAGTCCGCACGAAATGTGTCCAGCCAAAGGCACGGTGGCTCCTGCAATTCACATCTTGCCACAATACTGGGTATGCTCTTCGAAAAGATACTGTCCTTGGGACCAACCCATATCTGGTGGATCACTCGCGGGATCCTGGATGAGAGGCAAACTTCTTTGCGAGCTCTCAGTCCAAGCGAAAGCTCTACGACTTCGCTATGAGGGGGCAAACACCTGCTATTGCCGCCAGCTGGGGGCAAAACCTTAGTGAGGAGGGCCCACTGCTCTTCATCCCAAGCGTTGCCAAAGTCTAATGCTTATGCAAGGTGCCAGAAGAAGTCCAGCAGCAATCAACAACATGCGGTGAGTTGCGCCTAACGCAATTGATTTGACTTTGAGATACTACTCTCTCGGTCATGCCCAGGCTCGCTGCTGTTCCTCCGAGGCTTTCCATGTACTCCCGGCAACCTTGGCAGTCTGTGAATTGGAGACAAGCTTCACACGCGTGCCTGCTAGCATGAAGCCTCATCAACCACTGTTCCGACTCAAGTGACAGGCCCTTTTCTGCTAGACTGGAGCTACTGTCCGAGTGCGTGCAAATTGCTCTGACAGCCCGAAAGAGGCCCAAGCGCTACAGACTTCTTCCTCCTATAAACCCCGAAGCTTCCGAGCCACACTGTCGCCATTCGTCTGCATTTTGCACGGCACACTCTCGGCGATCCCAGTGGTTGAATGAGCCTGGGCAACATTGGAGGCTGGGTTTAAGACCAAAAAGGCTTCCTGTGGAAACTCAACCACAGTCGATATTGATTTCTATCGGCAGCTGGCTTCCTCAGCAATTGTAGCTTGTATTGGCTCATGGTTGCTTTCTTGCTTCTTGCTGCTGTCACAGTGATGGCGGAACAATATTAAATGATTGTCCTCGTCCTCAAAGTGCACAAAAAACTCCACAGCGTCTAGGATCTGTGCACAAGTAAAATCCATGTGAATTGGAATGCTATCGTGGTGGCATTGACTCCGTGCAGTCAAGGTGCCAATTGGACTGACGTCTAATTTCGGGAAATCTCCGAGGACTGCCTGCAGCTCGCAGGTCGGTCGAGTCAAGTCACTTCTATAAGGACCCTTGAACCCCCTCTCTGCTCCTGTCTCCCACCTGCGCTTCACCCATCCACCTTCCCCGTCCCGCACCCCCTCAAGTGCAGACCGCAAAGAGTCAACAGCAGAACGGATGGTATCCAGGAGTACTCCTGCAAGTAGCCACGCAGGCTCAAGGAAGAGGGCCTTCCACGAAAGAGGAAAAATCCAAGGAAAAGCCCAGCACAAACGCCGAAAGAGAAAGCCAGGGAGAGGATCAAAAGGGAGTGCGAAGTGCAGCCAGGCCCCACCTGTTTGAAGAGGAATGCTGACTCGCAACACCCCGGAGCCTTCCTAGAGGGTAGGGGAGAGCTTCGTTGGACGGAGCTCCCCTACACACCCTCCGTCCCCTGCAAGATGAAGAAAAACGACATGTAATAAAAGTGCATCACCCCCCAATTTCCATGAACACACCCACACACACCCGCGCGCGCGCACACACACACACACACTCTTTTGCACAACAGCCATCCGATTTATCGAAGCTCTCTGTGTGAGAATCTGACTGTACCGACGATGATCTGCTTTTTCTCAGGTTCTCAGCTTAGCCCTCGCACCATTCTCGTTGGATGGCCCTCGAAACCCCGACCTGCCAAACGAAATGTCTGATAAAGGAAAAAGCTTAGTCGCACAGCCACTCGGGCTCAAGTGTTGACACCACATGCCCAGGGAAGCAAACTATGCCAGCATCAGGCCCTCATCGGAAATCTGCTAGTCTGCTAGTTCTGTCCCTGGAACATAATTGCCGTGGGATGTAAGCCTATGACCAACAAGAGACAGCAGGCAACAGCCCAGCTCAAGTAACGACGATTTTGAGACTGCCTACTCCAAAGCACAGGCGGTGTCCAAACTCCTCGTGCCTGGNNCTGGCGAAGGACCTTGCATGAAGAGAAAGGAAGAGACGGTTTCGAGGAGCACAGCAGGGCAAGCACCGGCCACCAATCTCGCTGGCTTCCGCTTTGACCGCCGGCCTTGGAGGATGCCCCTTCGCTGCCGCCCAGCATGGACCAACCTGGGACGGTCGAAAGATTTCTTCAGAAACATGCATTTCAAGAACGTGAATCAAACTCGCGGGTGCCATGCACGAGCGTGGGTGGTCCGCAAACTTGTCACAGCACTGTAGCCTGTCTCAGTAGAAGGACCTGTCTCGATTTCTTTTTGTGCCTGTCAAAATTTTAGGTTTTTCTCACTTCATCCTTCTCTCTTTGCCACCGGCTAGAAGCTTGCGACATGTCCCAGTCCGCTCTTTCG